CCTGGGTTCGAGCCCCACATCGGGCTTTCTGCTCGGCGGGGAGCCTGCTTCCTCCTCTCTCTCTGCATGCCTCTCTGCCTACTTGTGATTTCTCTCTGTCAAATAAATAAATAAAATCTTTAAAGAAAAAAAAAAAAAAAGCTTTTATTGGTTGAAGTTTGGTACTCATTGAAGAGGGCCAAACCAGCCCTCTGTCACCATTGTGTAAATCAAGACATCAATCTCATTATGAATATACAAAAGGATACTGGACTGAGGCAGGAAATATACAAGATGTCTTTGGAGTATCTTCTATACCAGAAAGTAAGGAAGTTCTCAAGCAAACAAACAAACAACCCAAACTTGCATTGATGGGAGGATGTCAAAAGAACATAGGAGCCAAATGAAGGAGCTCCCAATAGCCAAAGAAGAGACAATATGAGGACAAAATTATTAGTGTAGTTTTGGGCTATAATAAAATATAAGTTAATACCTATGAAGTCATAGTGGTATAAATAAATAATTGAATAAATAAATGGGGAAGAATAGACAAATCCTCCACACATAAGAATTAAAAAAATTGATGTAGACAGTCTCCTTCCTAGGAGGTGGAGAATAACTCCCTACCCTTTAAGCATGGCCTGTGCATAGACCCTACCAAAGATTAGAATGGGGAAGAGGGGACCAGTAAAATGGAGAAGAGTGTAAACTTACAGTGGAGAAAGGCTGACAAATGCTACCTCAGCCAGGTGATCAAGGTAATCAGTAATCATATTCAGTAATAAGTCATATTGATAGTATGTACTCTTAATATGATGTGTGAAAATGGCACCTTATTTTGTTATTTTCTCTCAAATCCCCATAATTCCAGGCTGGGAATGAGAAACATATTGGGGAAAAAAAAAAACTTAATTAAGGAGCAATCTATAAAATACTTGATCAGTACTCCTCAAAACTGTCAAGGTTGTCAAAAAATAAGGAAAGTCAGAGAAGCTGCCATAGTGTAGAGAGTCATGACAGGAGGCATGACAACTGAATGTGATGTGGTGTCCTGGATGGGATCTTAAGACAGTGAAAGGACATTAGACAAAAACAAAGAAAATCTGGATAAGTGTATAATTTAATTGGTAATGTCAGTCTTGAATCATGAGTTGTGACAAGTACACTATAGTAATGTATGATGTTAACAATATGGAACCCTGAGTTGTGGAATACATGGGAATGCTCTGTATTATCTTTCCAACTTTTCTTTAACTCTAAAATGATTCTAAATAAAAACAATTTTAAAATTAAATAAAATAAATAAAATTCTAAAATAAAACACAAAGTTAAAAATTCTGTTTATATACAAATAATATTAATGACAAGATTAACAAGAATGTCACATTTGACAATATTAACAACTGTGTCTGAATAACAAACAGAAAACCCATAATCACACATTCAAATTTTACAGTCCCATTATACCACTGTTATTCACACACAACAGCAAGTATAGTTCATCATGTTGTAAACAGGATTCAACCCTTTTTATCTAAGTAAGCACCTAGGTTCTTGCCTTCCCACTGTGATTTATGTGTTTATAACGAAGTCCCAATTTTATGTTAAACTTTCAGTCCAAAAATTGCCCAAATCAATGCACAACTCACATTCAACAAACACAAAACTCCCTCTCCCTCCCTCAAAGTTGCCTCTCTACAGAAGACTTTCAATAGCATAGTTTAAACAAACCAGAATACTGAGTGAATTATTACTGTTATTATTATTATTCTTGGAGGGGGGAAGAGAATGGTGGGGGTAGAGAGGGAGAGAGAGAATCCTAAGCAGGCTCCATGTCTGGTGCAGAGCCACACATGGGGCTCAGTCTCACAAGTTGAGATCATGACCTAAGCGAAGTCAAGAGTGGGACACTGAACCAACTGAACCTCTCAGGTACCACCTAAGGGAAGTCTTTACTCCTCTCTTTTGTCTCCCCAATCAAAAAAAAATCATTAAATTTTGTGAATTCTAACATGTAAATATCCTTTGAAATTTTCTACTCTCCCTTTTCCCTGCTTCCACTCCCTTGCCCAAGTGATTTATATCCCATCAACAGACTTTAAATGTTTTTCCTGCCTACAGTTGTGATTTTTGCTGATACATTATCTGTAATAGGTAAGCCATCTAAAAATACTGTACCTACTTCTGTATTTTTTGCCTAAACCTTTTTCTTCTCTTTGCTCTTAGGATGAAGTCCAAATCTTCTTGAGTGACTAACTGGTCTGTACATGATTTAGCTCCTTCCTACCTTTTCATTTCTCGTATTTATTCAATTTACACTTGATTCTCCAGCCTCCTTGAATTTTTCTGGGCTTCTCAATATGTCAAGCTCCTTCCTACCTCAGGACCTTTGCTTGCTCTGTTCTCTGCCTCCTATTTCTCCTTCACATAGTCATTGCATTTCTCCTATTATGATGTTTATTTTTTTAAAGATTTTATTTTTTTATTCATGAGACACAGAGAGAGAGAGAGAGGCAGAGGGAGAAGCAGGCTCCCCACTTAACAGGGAGCATGATGCAGGACTCAATTCCAAGACTCCAGGATCATGACCTGAGCTGAAAGCAGACACTTAACCATCTGAGCCACCCAGGAGCCCCTATTATGATGTTTATAATACTCAATTACATTTGTTTGATTTTCTTCTTTGCCAAGCTGTGGTTTTCATAAGGGCAGTGACCTCTATATTGTGCATAATTGTATTTTCCATATTATCACTGTGCCTGAATAACAGCTATTGAATACATGGGTGAACAATAAACTGAAGAAATGTGCTAGAAAAATGACTAGTACCTGTGAATATTTAAATTATAAATAATTCATAATCAGAAGGAAATAAAATATAACAAAAGAAAATATTTAAAGGATATGTTAGGAATTCATATACAAATATGTAAACAAAATAAGCTAAACAGAAGAAAAATATCACTTCTGATGGTCATTAAAGAAAAGTTTGTAACAATAAGTTATCATTTCATTAATGTTAATATCTAAGGCAAGAAAATAAGAACCACTATAAATTTCTAGTGAAATTCTAATTTTGTGCTTCCCTTCTTCAGGGTTATCTTGCAGCATTTATTAAACATTTTTTCCATGTTGCCAACCAAGAAATGATGTCTAACTATAGCAAATACCCCAATTGAAATTTCTGATCTGGATATTGGTTAAATAAATTCACATTGTGATTTTCAGTCATAAAATACATACTACAAAGGAACATTTATTGGAATAGGAAAATGGCCATGGTCATAACTTACTTCTGTGTGAGAAAGTAGACTATAAAATGGTACACCACAAACTGTTAAAGATACATAAACAAAAGATCTGTGGTCAGGGGTGGAATGGCAAGGACATATGACTTGTTATCTCTGGGCGAGGAGAGAATATATTTATTTTAATTTCTTTTTATAACTAGAAAAAATTCCCATCAAAAAATTTAATTAAAAAATAGCTTACAAGCAAAATCCTCCATATATTGCCCTCATAAATTCAGCCTAATCTATATTTATCATTTTGCCTAGCCAGACCACTGGACTGCTGGGTAGACTGATAGTCTAATTTCCCCTGCACCCACTCCACTCCCCACCCCAATACACACTAAATAAGCACACATTTAAGTCACATGATGAATACTGTTTTGCAGGAAACAGATGGAAGAAGAATTGTTGTATGAACTAAAGCTAACTAGAAAAACCTTAATACTTCACCTTTTAAGATCAAGGTAAGTTCTATTATAATTTAATATCTTATAGATTTATTGGTCTGTAGTATTCCAGTTTTTGTAAAAATTGTTAGTGAAATGAATTCATCATGTTATTGTTACCTATATATAGCTGAATTCCTACTCATCTATACAATGGAATATTATGCAGCCATTAAAAATAAAAACTTGCATTTGCAATGACATAGATGGAACTAGAGGGTATTATGCTAAGTGAAATAAGTCAATCAGGGAAGGACAATTATCATATGATTTCACTGATATGTGGAATTTGGAAACAAGGCAGAGAATCAAAGGGGAAGAGGGGAGAAAATGAAACAAGAAAAAGAAACAAGATGAAACCAGAGAGGGAGAGAAACCATAAGAGACTCTTAATCTCATTAAACAAACTGAGGGTTGCTGAAGTGAAGGAGGGTGGGAGGGATGTGGTGGCTGGGTGCTGAACACTGGGGAGGGTATGTGCTATGGTGAGCACTATGAATTGTGTAAGACTGATGAATCACAGACCTGTACTCCTGAAACAAATAATACATTATATGTTTTTTTAAATTTTTTAAATTTTTTATTAACATATATTATTAGCCCCAGGGGTACAGGTCTGTGAATTGCCAGGTTTACACACTTCACAGCATTCACCATAGCACATACCCTCCCCAATGTCCATAACCCCACCACCCTCTCCCTCCCCCTCTCCCCCCAGCAACCCTCAGTTTGTTCTGTGAGATAAGAGTCTATTACGGTTTCCTAGAATTGTTTGTATTTCTTTGGTGTTGTTTGTGATCTCTCCTCTTTCATTAATGATTTTATTTATTTGGGTCTTTTCTCTTTTCTTTTTGGTAAGTCTGGCCAGGGGTTTATCAATCTTATCAATTCTTTCAAAGAACCAGCTCCTAGTTTCTTTGATTTGTTCTATTGGTTTTGTGTTTGTTTGTTTGTTTGTTTGTTTTGGTTTTGGTTTTGGTTTTGGTTTTTTGTTTCTATTTCATTGGTTTCTGCTCTGATCTTTATTATTTCTCTTCTCCAGCTGGGTTTAGGCTTTCTTTGTTGTTCTTTCTCCAGCTTCTTTAGGTGTGGGTTAGGTTGTATATTTGACACCTTTTTTGTTTCTTGAGAAAAGCTTGTATAGCTGTATATTTTCCTCTCAGGACTGCCTTTGCTGTGTCCCACAGATTTTGAACCATTTTTGGTTCAAAAAAATTTAAAAAATGATTTCTGAATCATTTGTTTCCATGAATTTTTTTCAATTCTTCTTTAATCTCCTGGTTGACCCATTCATTCTTTAGAAGGATACTCTTTAGTCTCCATGTATTTGGGTTCTTTCCAAATTTCCTCTTGTGATTGAGTTCTAGCTTCAGAGCATTGTTGTATGAAAATATGCAGGGAATCATCCCAGTCTTTTGATACCAGCTGAGACCTGATTTATGACCCAGGATGTGATTTATTCTGGAGAATGTTCCATGTGCACTAGAGAAGAATGTGTATTTTGTTGCTTTGGGATGGAATGTTCTGAATATATCTGTGATGTCCATCTGGTCCAGTCTGTCATTTAGGACCTTTATTTCCTTGTTGATCTTTTGCTTGTATGATCTGTCCATTTCAGTGTTAAAGTCCCCTACTATTATTGTATTATTGTCGATGTGTTTCTTTGATTTTGTTATTAATTGGTTTATATAGTTGGCTGCTCCCATGTTAGGGGCATAGATATTTAAAATTGTTAGATTTTCTTGTTGGACAGACCCTTTGGGTATGATATAGTGTCCTTCCTCATCTCTTATTATAGTCTTTGGCTTGAAATCTAATTGATCTGATATAAAGATTGCCATCCCAGCTTTCTTTTGATGTCCATTAGCATGGTAAATTGTTTTCCACCCCCTCACTTTAAATCTGGAGGTGTCTTTGGGTCTAAAATGAGTTTCTTGCAGACAGCATATTAATGGGTTTTTTTTAATCTATTCTGATACCCTGTGTCTTTTGATTGGAGCATTTAGCCCATTTACATTCACGGTAACTACTGAGAGATATGAATTTAGTGCCACTGTATTGCCTGTAAGGTGACTACTACTGTATATTGTCTCTGTTCCTTTCTGATCTACTATTTTTAGGATCTCTGCTTACAGGACCACTTTCAATATTCCTTGTAGAGCTGGTTTGGTGTTTATAAATTCTTTTAGTTTTTGTTTGTCCTGGAGGCTTTTTATCTCTCCTTCTATTTTCAATGATAGCCTAGCTGGATGTAGTATTCTTGGCTGCTTGTTTTTCTCGTTTAGTGTTCTGAATATATCATGCCAGCTCTTTCTGGCCTGCCAGGTCTCTGTGGATAAGTCTGCTGCCAATATAATATTTTTACCCTTGTATGTTACAGACTTCTTGTCCTGGGCTGCTTTCAGGATTTTCTCTTTGTTGCTAAGACTTGTAAATTTTACTATTAGATTATGGGGTGTGGACCTATTCTTGTTGATTTTGAGGGCGTTCTCAGCACCTCCTGGATTTTGATGCTTGTTCCCTTTGCCATATTAGGGAAATTCTCTACAATAATTTGCTCCAGTATACTTTCTGCTCCCCTCTCTTTCTTCTTTTTCTGGAATCCCAATTATTCTAATGTTGTTTCATCTTACAGTATCACTTATCTCTTGAATTCTTCCCTCATGGTCCAGTAGTTGTTTGTCTCTCTTTTGCTCAGCTTCTTTATTCTCTGTCATTTGGTCTTCTATATCACTAATTCTCTCTTCTTCCTCATTTATCCTAGCAGTAAGAGTCTCCATTTTTTTATTGCACCTCATTAATAGCTTTTTTGATTTCAACTTGGTTAGATTTTAGTTCTTTTATTTCTCCAGACAGGGTTTCTCTAATATCTTCCATGCCTTTTTTGAGCCCTGCTAGCACCTTGAGAATCATCATTCTGAACTCTAGATCTGACATTTTACCAATGTCTGTATTGATTAGGTCCCTAGCCTTTGGTACTGCCTCTTGTTCTTTTTTTTGTGGTGAGTTTTTCCGTCTTCTCATTTTATCCAGATAGGAGTATATGAAGGAGTGAATAAAATACTAAAAGGGTGGCAAAGACCCCAGAAGAATGTGCTTTAACCAAATCAGAAGAGACCCCAAATCATGGGGGAAAGAGAGGGGGTAAAAAGAAATTCAAAAAAAAAAAAAAAAGAAAGAAAGAAAAAATATAAAAAAGAAAAAAATATATATATATATATATTAGACTGGTGAATAGAACAGGGTCACCCACTTAATTTTGGGAGTATTTTGGTCTGTTAGAAGAAACTACCTCCCAAAATTTTAAAGAATGAAAAACATATATAAGGGTAAACATAATGAAGGGATGGAATATGACTATAAAGATGAAATTATTTTTTTTCAATTTCTAAAAAAAGTGTTGATAAGGTAAGTTGGTTGGGAGAATAAAGAAAGAAATAAAGAAAGTAGAGAGAATTTGCTCAGGTTGGAGACTAGAGCAAAGTCCTGTGCTAGATTTAGGGTATATTTTGATGTATTAGAGTTGTATCCCAAATTTTTTTAGAAGAAAAAACCCTACGTGTATACAAAAAATAAAGTTAGATACAATGGAGGATAAAATATGACTATAATAATGAAAGTTCAAAAAAGTTTTTTTTTAATGAAAGGTATTGTTAAGATAAACTAGTTAAAAATGTTAACAGAAAAAGGTAAAAGTCAAAAAAAATTTAGAAGAAAAAAATAAAATTAAAAAGAATTAATTAACTTTGCAAGACTAAAGAGTCATGGGGAGAAAGCCATGAATTCCATGCTTTGCTTTCTCCTCCTCTGGAATTCCGGTGTTCTCCCTCATAAGTGAAATTGGTCTTGGCTGGATTTCTTGTTGATCTTCTGCAGGAGTGGCCCGTTGTAGTGATTCTCAAGTGTCTTTGCCCGAGGCGTGATTGCACCGCCCTTACCAGGGGTCATGCTAAGTAACCCGCTCGGGTTCGCTTTTAGGAGCTTTTGTTCCCTGAACACTTTCTGTAGAGTTCCAGGGGACGGGAATGAAAATGGCAGCCTCCCAATCTCTGGCCTGGAGGAGCAGAGAGCTCAGGGCCCCACTCCTCCGTGTACCCTAGGAGAAAAGCTCTCAATCACTCCCATCTCCCTGGCCTCTTGCTGTGCTCCGAGCTCACCCAGCCTGTGACCAAGCATCGCTGTCTCTGGCATGCAGCCCCGCCTGGAGTCTCCAAATTCTGTAGATCACTGTGCTCTTCCAGGGGGGTCTCCCCGGATCTTGTGGGGTCCCTGCTCACAGAGCGGTGGCCTGTGCCATGGATCACAACTTAAGGTAACCCTGAGTTGAGAGCTCACTCCTTGGCTCTGCCTCTGTAGCCGGCTTCACCACATAATATCAGTGAGCTCTGTGACATTCAGACACCCCCGATCCTTCTGTGACCCTGTGGGACCTGAGGCCACTCTGTCCCCTCATGGGGTTCACCCTTGCTTAGCCTCTGGAATGATGTCCTTCAGTGGAGTAGACTTTTAAAAGTTCTGATTTCGTGCTCCGTTGCTTCGCTGCTTGCCGGCAGCTAGCTCCTCCTGTCGCGGTCTATCTTTGCGTCGCTTTGGATTTACTTCTCCACTGGTCCTACATTTCAGAAAGTGATTGGTTTTCTGTTTCTAGAATTGCTGCCCTTCTTCTCTTCAATCTCCTGTTGGATTTGTAGGTGTTCAGAATGGTTTGATAAGCTATCTAGCTGACCTCCTGCTACCTGATGTCATCTCAGCCTGCTACTTCTCCACCATCTTGACTCCTCCCTCCAATATATTAATTTAGTAATGAAAATATTTAAAAATTACATATCAGTATCTTAACAACAATTATAGACACTACCCTTCAGTCCTGAGTTACCCTCTGCTTGGGGTACTTAGAGCCTTTGACTTCATGTACTCACTCTAAGAAGAAAGTTAATATGTTACTTCTGAGTCAGTAGAACAAAGGAAATACTGCTTTTAGGGTGACTGCTAAGTTGTTTAAAATAGATATCAAACCA